GAGAAAAAAGTCAATTTTTTCTTGTCCCCTTACATAAAAATACACATTGTTGAGTGTCACGCCTGAACGCTTTGTCATATTGACACAAAAATTGACAATCATGTGTATCTCAATTAGATCTACGAAAAAGTCAAAGAGCGCGTATCTGTATAATGTACGGTTAAAGGGTTATTCTGCATTTTTTGCCGATTCGCACACATTGGAATGTGGCTATCTCCTCCTAAGGCTTTCGTCCCACCGATACCAAATTTGCTCAGGGCAATCTACACCCCATGCCCATTCAAAGTTGTAAAAATCATGACGCTGCACCCCACGGTTTACGTTCTAGGGGGCGCCAAAAATGACCCAAAAATCCACATTCTTAAAAGTCATTTTGGCCACTGCAGGAGTACAGAGTACTGCAGTTCTAGGGGGCGCCAAAGATGACCCAAAAATCCACATTCTTAAAAGTCTTTTTGGCCACTGCAGGAGTACAGAGTACTGCAGGATACACACACATATACACACACGCCAACATACACACACACACACACACACACACACACACAGACACACACACACACTCAGAGTCTGTTTTTTAGCACCTGCAAAAACATGCTGTTTACATATTTGACAAGAATGCAGAGGCTTCCTTTTGCCCCTGAAAAAAATCAAATTTCAAACACAACTTGACTGTTCATTTCTCCAAAAGACAACCATGAAGCTCCATTTCAAACCTGAAGCAGATAGTTGGTGCATGTGTACAGTAACCTGAGGGGAGTGAGGTGACTATTTCTGAGGAGAACATGAGCAGTGAAGATTCACCTTGGAGCTAGAACAGGGACGTGCACATGATTATACAGGGGCAGGGGCTCAAGTTTTTTCCAGTCATTTATACAATATGGAAATTAATGTGAAATTAAACCACAAATATGTGTGATGAACTGTTTTTAAAACTTAAACTTCAAATAAAAATTGTAAACTTCAAAACATATGCAAATTTTTAACAAAGAACATAGTTATTTACCTCTATTTACATCAAAATGCAGGCAATGGCCCAGGCGTTCTTTGTAAAATTATTTACAAAACACTGTATAGTCTCACAAATGTCACTTTTTATTTATGCCACTACAAAAAAACATGATGTAAATGATGCATGATGTAAAACATGATGTAAAAAACTTGTGTAGATCCTCCTCTATGTCAGTCCATGTGTAATTTTTCCATAATTCTTTGTTTTTTGCAGCATTTTTGTTAGTGTAACTGCAGATTGTGCTGACAGTGTCTATGGCACAAAAAAAAAAAAAAATTAAAATGCCTCAACATGAACCCCTGGTGGTCTCTGAGGGTGAAACCTGCTAACTGCTGCAGCTCTGTCAGCTTCAGTCTCCCATGCAGAGCTCTGAGCGCATGTGTGGCTCTGCACCCTTAGCCGCGTTGCTAACTCCTCAGTAAGGAAAGCCTGCTTCATGTCAGAGTCTCTAAACTCCAGAAGAAGTCGATAAAAGTCCCTTTCTTTCTAAAAAAAAGTCGTTAGGGTGTCTGAAAAGTCATTGAATCTAACAACAAAGTCGCTAGGTTTGCAACTACGTGTCCCAGACTGCATCCCTGCTGAGAGTCCCTCCCTCCCTTCTCATGTTGCAGGAAGAACGTAAGCGCCCGCCCCTTGTCAATCAGTCACCATATAATTTTGGATTGGTTGTTGTGGTGAAGTTTTCCACCAATAGGAGAGATGTTGTGGTGTGTTTTTTTTTTCTTTTGGCAAGCCTTTTCCGCCTGTAAGACCTGTCGCTAATGTCTGCATGCTATGTTTTCCTGTCTCATACAGCGCGATCGAGCGCCGAACGTGATCAAAATAAGCAGAAAAAAAGTATCGCGGACATAATTTATCATAACTCTGGTTTTATTTGGCCTATCAACACAATTTAAAAACTGGTATATAGGTTGAGGTCCTCACTTTTGAGATAAGTTGAAACGGAGAGTCAACGAGGCTCCGTCTTGCAGCTACATCCGGTTAAATATGTCATGTGACTTGAACGCACACATAGACACACACACACGCACACACACACACACACACACACACACACTCAGAGTCTGGTTTTTAGCACCTGCAAAAACATGCTATTTACATATTTGACAAGAATGCAGAGGCTCCTTTTGCCCCTGAAAAAAATCAAATTTCAAACACAACTTGACTGGTCATTTCTCCAAAAGACAACCATGAAGCTCCATCCAAACCTGAAGCAGGCAGTTGGTGCATGTGTACAGTAACCTGAGGGGAGTGAGGTGACTATTTCTGAGGAGAACATGAGCAGTGAAGATTCACCTTGGAGCTAGAACAGAGACATGCACATGATTATACAGGGGCAGGGGCTCAAGTTTTTTCCAGTCGTTTATACAATATGGAAATTAATGTGAAATTAAAACACAAAGTATTAATAGAAAGGTAATGACTGTCCTGTGTAGGTGACAGTGATATCCAATAGGCTAGGCACTCACGAGGCTGGCTGTGGCAAGTGTAAGTGAAAGCAACACGCACTGGCAGGAAGAACAGCAAACGCCGATGAAGGAAAAGGGTCTTTGCAGTGATGGGCGTTAACAGAGAGGGCGATGGCCAGAGGACACAAATGGGACGGGGAGGCAGCACGTTGGGGGGGGGGGGGGGGGGAACGCGACACGGCTCGGGCCCGCCAGTGCCCCAACGGGGTCCTAGTTAGGGCCCGAGCGTAGCTGCTAAGCAGCTGCGAGAGCCCTCTTGTTCCTGATGGATTCTTCTTTTGTTATTATTAGGGCCCGAGCGTAGCTGCTAAGCAGCTGCGAGAGCCCTATTATTGAGTGGGATTGCGAAGCATTCCCACTATATGTTATTCATATCTTTATTATTATTATTCAACACACTTCCACCGTTTTTTGGACCTCAACTACTTCCACATACTTCAACGTATTCAAACCATTCAAACTTCAAAAGATTCATCTCATTGAGGAGATTCAGGGGTGTATTCAGAATTTTCCTAACATTCATACTTTCTGAGATATTCCAGGTTTTCCGACCGATTTCTCCCATTAGAAATGCATTACGGAATGTTCAAATTGGCCCTTTTCTCACATTTTCTTCACACAACTTCAAAAGCCTTCAACTCCTCTATACTTCCACGTAGAAACTTCATTCAAAAACCAAAATATTCACAAATTCTTCAGCATTATTCCACATCTTCAACATTTTTAATCCCATTTGTACTTTTCAAAATATTAAGATTTGTTTAAAACTTCGTTATAATGGGATTCAATGGGAAAAGGGCTTCAGACGTAGTCAACTTCAACCTCTTCTCATTCATTCATACTTTCACTTAGAAACTTCATTCAAACTTTAAAATATTCACACATCTTCAGACATTCACTCATTCATTCACCATCTTCATGGCATTCATACTTTTCTCACAGTGACAGTTCAAAAAGTCCAAAGATTTTCCGACCTGTTCAGGTTTTAACATTAGTGTGTATTGCACGGAATGTTGGCCGCTAGAGTGGGTGACCTCACAGCTAGAGTGAGACAGGCTGAAAATTGATCCTCAAAACTTTGTCTTTACAAAAGGATTGTGGCAACTCCCTTCGCTCTACACAGATAAAATTTGGTACAGTGATGGTAAAACTCGCTGTCACTCTTCATCTAAAAAATCAAAGCCATAGGACACACACAGTGGCCTGGGCAGACACCAACTGCCGCAGACATCCCCCAGATTTCTCCAGCTTTCTCCATTGACTCCAATGTAAACCTGAGAGGAGGATTTTCAGAGGAAACACAAACTGGACATGTTTTTAACTTGTCCTAGTGAAGGCATTTTTGGCTCCACAAACACAGAAGTTGTATCAACGTGTTCAGCCGGGCCTTGTGGTAGTCACAAGCTCCTGATCATGAAGATAGCAGTTACAGAGGATGAGAAATATGACGTTGTTTGGGCATTACGTTCTCAGCCTCAAGCCTCCTTTCTCCTGCTGTTGTTAAGCATCTATCGTCACCATGGCGACCAAAGGGAGCACCTGGAGACACACAGCTGGCTGGAAAGCTGCTTCAAACAGCCATATGAGACACATGAAGCCAGGCTCAGTACACAGAGTACTTAGGGTGACATTTAAAACCCTTCAATAGAGTTATTTGATGAAATTTGTCATCTATCTCTTCGCACAAACCTTGAGCTACAGAAACCATCCAGGGCTTAATAAATTCAGCTCATTGAGGACATTATGGGGTCTAATCAGGATTTTTATTCATTTACATTGTCCCCATATTTTCAATCATTCATTGAAAATGCATTATTTAACTCTTCAAACTAATTTAAACTCCTTCAAACTGATTTAAATCGTTTTGATTCTTCAAACTTCTTTTTCTTCCAGATTTGTAACCTTTTAATTTTCCAGTTTTAAATATTTTTTACTCTTAATGCATTATTCAGTTCTTTCAAACAAATTATAACTCATTTGAACTTGTCCTTCTTTCTTCTGCTGTAATGATGTATTTACCTTCAGCATGGCAACCAATTAGTGCACCTGGAGAAACAAAGCTGACTGGGAAGTTGCTTCTCACCCCTTTCCTGCTCTGTGAAGTTTTTGTGGCTTGTTCCTAAACATGACAGCTTGTATTTTTAGAGCTGGACAACAGTTCGGCACTGCGGGCTGATTAAAATTTCTTAGTATTGTTTTGAACCCTCAAATTTTCAAATAATTCTTACTATTTATTTCTTATTCAACAGAAATTCTGACATCAACTGTTTCATCACATTCATACATGCCTTGTTATCTAAACCTAATAAATTTCCATCTGGCAGTGGCTTCAGCTTTTAATTTCCCCCATTTTAATCATTCTGACCATTCATGACTCATACTGCTCCTTCATACAATTTTCTATTCATTTAAAGAGATTCAAACTTTCATATTTCACACATTTAAATTGTTGTGATTGTGAGCATGTGTCATTCATTCATTCATTCATTCTTTCATATAAGTAAATTAAAACTCCAGAATTTTATTTACTTTCTTTATTGACATTGAATCAGAAAAAAATCTGGGGTATATGGCACCGTCAGCCTTTCGACCCTCCAAGCATGTCAGGAAAAACTCCCCCAAAAACCTTTCTCAGGATAAGAGGAAGAAACCTTTAGGTAGGCCAGGTCTTAGAGGGATCCCCTACCAGGACGGCTGAGCATGCAGTATTTTAGAGTTCAAAGCTCAGCAGAGATCACATGGCTCCAGGGTCACATGGTTGCTGGGTTTGGCTCTGTGGCTCATGTCGAGCTGGTTCTGTGATGAGTTGAGAGGAAAAGACAACAGTTTACACCGGTGTTACAGACGACAAACTGAAATCCTACACAGCTGGTTGTAGTGTGGAAATGTCAAAGATTTTGAAGATGAAACATACTTGGTGAAGTTCAGAGCTGTTGCTCCCCAGGTCAGAACCCTTCTCTGCTGTAGACTCGGTGCTTGGTTCTAAGAAGCCACAGTCACAAGATCTGCAGGACTTTTCTAGTTCTTCAGCTCATGTCGACTTCTGTGATGTACAGAGAGGAGAGAAGGTTGTCACATCAGATGAACAAAGAAATAATGTGACTGCTGAAGAAAAGTACATACCCGTTAGAGGTCCAGCATTGTGTGAGCAACAACTTGTCCAATCCTGGATCAGAAGTTCTCTCCGCTAATCGGTCACACACGGAGAGGGTTTGGTTTCCTGTACAGCACTGGCAGACAAAACTTTACGTTTATTATCAATACCTTTAAACTTTTCTAGCAAATGTCACAAAACTCTTCATGATCAATAAACTGTTCAGTTGACTCACAACATGCTTGAGTCCTGTTCAAGATCAATGGAGGCACCCCTTGTCAGGATCGTGACGCATGCACAGCACATCCAACTTCACCTCTCTCTGAAGCACTGAACAGGAAAAAAAAACTGTGAAACCAGATGAAATTTTACAGATTGATTTAAATACACCAGAAAACAGACACTGCAACATTTAAGTCAACTTACAATGTGTGTGGGTCCTCCTCAAGTTGATAGACAGGGCTGTCTAGCTGCAGTACTCTGGAACTGTTGCTCAGGCGCTGCTCTGCCAGTGTGGGGCTGCCACTGTGACACTCTACCAGACAAAAAGAACTTCTTCAAAATGCCATGGAGCATCATTGAGAAATTATTGGCAGCCTTAGATTAAAAGGAATAAACTGTACTGTCACTCACCATGCACATGTTCAGGGAATTTACAGGTAGAATTGTTTCTTCTCACTGTGGCACCTGCAGCTCTTACCCGTAAATTCACACGGCTGTGAAAGACTTGGTGATGAACTTCTCAGCCCAGGAAGGTGTGAATACAACCAAGTGTCAGACAGAGGGTTCACCAATGGATGTTCTTTTGAGAGAGGCTCATCCTTATCTCCTTTGTTAGACCACCAGAAACAAACACAAACAGTAAAAGGCAACAAACTCAGAGTGCAAATGTCTTGATATCAAAATCATAGGCTGACCTGATGCTCTCTTAGGATGAAATGTGTCTTCCCCTCTCCAAGGTAGGCCCTTGGGACACACTGAGCACAGAGCTGGAGTTCTAGTGTCATCACCCCACATCTTTGGTGTCTGGAGGGCACAGGTGCCTAAACCCAAACAAATGAACAGAGAGATTCAGACAAACAAATCCAGTAAAACAACGTGTATTTTCACATTTAAAATGGAGCAGTCCTGCAGCTAGTATATATGAAAGATCAATATTGTTCTTACCTTACGCCCACACCAAGTCATTCAAGAGAAATGAGGAGCAGTAATGCATCCTCAGACCTTCCTGCCACTACTCAAAGTAAATGGCAGGACATAATGGGCAACTCTAATACAGCGTAAAGTAACGACTTGCAGAAATGTATTTCTATATAATTTGGTATAGGAGGGGGTCGTCGGTCCATCCCTCCCTCCCAGCCTTTTAAAAGCTAGAGCAGCCAGAGCAGGTGTTACAACCTGGCTGCTAAGGACGACCCCCTCATCTTAAAATATAATTTGTTTATAATATTTCATTAGTTCATAATAGTTTCAGTGGCAGTTTTTATTTCTTTTAAATTAGCTTGTTTTTAATTTGTCTCACTGTATATATATATATATATTTTTTTTTAAATGCTACTAATAATCTACTGACCTTTGCATCATTTTACTTCACTGTATTTTTCAGAAATGTATTAAAGTTTTATATATTGTCTTTAATCTCACATTGTACAGTGACTAGAAAGTATTTGCAGGTATGTTTTTCTTTGGTATAGGAGGGTCGTCTGACCATCCCTCCCTCCCAGCCTTTTAAAAGCTAGAGCAGCCAGAGCAGGTGTTACAGCCTGGCTGCTGAGGACGACCCCCCCATCTTAAAATATACTATGTTTACAACGTTTCGTTAGGTGATCGAATAGGAATCCAATAATTAAAACTCTTCTCTTAAATCGCAACGTGTAAACCGACAGTAATGGACGCAATAATTTCTTTTTTTCCTTAACTTTGCACCAAGTTCTCGATTTTAAACCAGCCAGTTCTTTTTAGGGTGTTTCTAAAGTGAGCACGCAGTAGACAGGGTGGTGGTAACTGTAGTATGTCCGCAGCACGCCAGAATGGATACAGGACTGCGGGCAAGAGATGAAAATGGGGTCAAGCAGCGTGTTCTTCTCTGTGGTTGACTCAGTTATGAGTTGTTCATAACCTTTGGACTGGAACAGTTCAAGAATGGGCTTCCTTGCTCTGGACAGCAAATCTTCATTAAAATCTCCACAGACTAAGATGGGATGATGATCCATGACTTCCAGTGAATCCAAGAGACTTCTGAGGTTGGATATGAATGAGTGAACATCGTAGTCAGGAGGCCTGTAGACGGCAGCAATTAGAGCCCTGAAAGGAGCTTCAAGTTTGATGACACTGAACTCAATATCAGTGGCATTTTGAATGAAATGTCTCTCAAGGACTCTGATGTGTTCTTTCACATAGATGGCAACTCCGCCACCGTTTTTAGTGGCCATGGCAGGATGGTTTGAATAAGACATGTTTCTGTTACGTTTGAACATGTTGTAGCCTTCAAGGTGGAGACTCTCAGCGACAAAGGATCCTCGCAGATGAGTTTCAGTGAGACAGAGCACGTCTGCAAGATGTAGTTCATGGTGACTTTGGATGTCGGTGATATGAGCTGGTAGTCCTTCTGTGTTGTGATGAATGACAGTGAGAGTGTCTGGCCTGTTCAATGTTTCTGGGATCTTGAGGAGAGGCATGACATGTTCAAGTGAAGCTTTAGACATGTTTTCAAGAGCTACAGTGATTTCAGGGTTGCAATAGATTTTCCTCTCATCCATGTCTAGAATGTGGAGTCCACTCAGAGAGGTCACTCTGCTCAGAGCAACGTAGGCCATGCCGGGTTCAAAGATGTGTTTCAGTGAGACCACGGCTGAGGACGTTGTCATCCCTTGAACTTTGTGTATTGTACACGCAAAAGCGAGCTTGATGGGAAACTGTCTTCTGACAACTCCCGTCTGTTTAAGATTCTCCTCGTCTCTGTCAATGTACACGATGTTTTCATCCACATCTGCTTCGCTGGCTGCTGCACTTTGACTGTTAAGTTTCAGTCCGAGTTTTTCAACATGCGGATTTCCTGCTTTAGTCACAATTTTTGCAATGCGTGCAAATGTTCCATTGCAGAGACCTGACCGCACACTTATATTTCTGGTGATCATGACATTAGCGCCGATGGCCAATTTTATCGAGTCAGGCAACTCCTTTTTGTTTCCTTGGAAAGGTACACTTTGTCTCGTCATTCTCCCGGTGGTTGGATCTTTTTTGTAGTCATCTGCATCTATTGTGGTGACGTCGGAGTGAAACATGTCCAAGGTTTTTGAGTTGTGTTCCTCAACCTGTTTGTTTGTCGCATAAACATGCAGTACGTCTTTTGGACATTGAGCCGGGTCAGCTAAGGCCCGTGAAAGCAGAACTCTGTCTTCATGAGACAAAGATACTGTCTTTTCTTTGGCACGGATTCGATTCAGCGTCTCAGCAAAAGTGACATCATCTTTCTGACGCATGATTTCGGTCAGTGTGACCATCTGAAAGTTGTCACGCCAGAGGTCGATCTGAGTCGGGTCGAACACACACAGAGGTTTCGACTGTCTGACAGGTGGTAGCTGGTAGAAATCTCCAACAGTGAGAACTGACATTCCACCAAAAGGTCTCTGACTTCCTTTGATTTGTTTCAGTCTCGCATCCACGTAGGCAAAGAGCTGTTTGGAGACCATGGAGACTTCATCAATAATGAGTATCTCTGCATTTGAAAGCTCTGCCCTGACTTCATCAAGTTTGTTACCAAGACCTTGGAAAGGAGGCTTGAGACTTCTGGGCAGCTTCAAGAGACAATGCAATGTTGTACCTGAAATGTTGAATGCTGCAGTACCAGTGAATGCAGTCAAGAGAACAGTAGGTCTAGAGATGTCTGCTTCCTCTGCATTTCTTGGAAGTCTTCTGAGTATTTTAGATGCCTCTGCATGGATGCATTTGATTAGATGAGACTTACCTGTTCCGGCACCACCATTAATGTACAAGAAGAACTGCTCTGGTTTTGAACCACAAACACATTTCAAGCACCAGTCCCGGATGGTGTGGAAAACTGAAGCTTGCGTTTGGTTCAAGTTCTGGTACATCTCACGCAGCACCACAGGATCAATTTCAGGGGCTTCAATCGTGACTGCAGATTCTTGCCTCACGTCTGACCTCACATTATAGTCTGGAACATTCTCCTGCACGTCCTCATCAGCTTCTCTTTCATTGAGTTCATCTATGCACTCGAGCCGTTCGAGCTCACTCTCAGGCGCCAGGTTGCCCCATTCATTTAGCAACATTCCTCTTTCTTCAAACTCTTGAATGGCACTGTCGATGTCCTCACGGTGTTTCTCATGTTTTTCTCTGTTGCGTTTCACAATTGCCTTCACGCGCTCAGGATGCTGTGATCCAGGTAACCAAACAGCTGCATGGTCATGGACGGACTGGTAAGTTGGGAAGTGGGTGGATTTCAGCTGGTTTTCTGAGCGATAAGGCACGTACAGTTTAAGCAATGTGCCATAATACAGCTCTGGATCTTTCTCAAGGGAGATGGGTCGATATTTGATGACAGCATGTTTTTCATCATTTGCTCTCTTCTGGACAAACCCCATCTCATTCAGCAGGCGATGAGTGTTTTTGCCTTTTGTCTGCTTGCCGTAGACTATTCTGCAGCTCGATGCAAAATCTGCCAAGCACATTGCCTCAAACTCTGGTGTTTCTGGTCTGCATACATACTTATCAGGTAACCCCGTCATCCACACATGTTCCGATTCTGAAGGTTTGTTGTCCAGGTGTGACAAGGGGTAACTCATTTTCAGAGCGTTGTCATCTGTCTGCACAAACACCACGCTGCGTGAACACTGCTTCATATGTAGACCGCATGCACGAGCCACACACTCCTGAGCGCTTACCTCTCTTTTTTTGGAGTAGGCCTGCATTATTTGTTTCATTTCATCGCTTTCGTTGACATCTTCCTGACGTGAGTTTTGTATCACCGTTTTGAGATATTCACTCAGACCATGTTCCGCCTTGCTGATGTAGCTGCACATGTACATGATACAGGAGTATGGGTTGAGAATGAATTGGATATCCATGTTGGCATTCCAGGCTTTCAGAAGGTAGGGGTTGTAGCCATTTACCCAAACATCTTTGGGACCACGCTTCAGCATCACTTGACTGCCGTTGGTTTTGCTCTGCAAACACCTGTGGTATTCTTCGTTGGTGAACTCACATTTTGCCAAAAGCTGTTCAAAGCTGAGCGTTGCAGTCGTAGGTTCATGAAGCAGCCTGTTCAGTGTTGCAAGCTTTTCTGTCAATGCCAGGTCTGTTGCTTCATCCACAATTGCCCCCGGTCTGATTATTGTGGTTTTTGGGACAGGTTGTTTGGGAAATCCGAAACGACAGTTTGCTCCACTGTATTTCACACACGTCTTGGAGTGGTTTTTGCTGTGCATCTGAACTTCTGTGACTATTTTGTACAGTTCTGGGTCCTCGTTTTCATCGGGCAGCTCAGCTTTGATGAATCTGGCCACAAACTTACACACCTCCTCATCAGAGCATTCTTCAAAGACAGGTGCGCCTGCCACCCATACCATACCATGAATGTGTGGGCTTCCTCTGTGCTGAAACTCGAGCCGGTAAAAGTAGTCGACGACTTTGCCGATAGGCTGTGCGGGGGACAGGATCAGATCTCTGAACAGAGCCTCGACACGTTTGTCAAACATGCGCATTGTGGTGACAGGATTACTTCGCAAAATCTCACACTTTGATGACCAATCCAGCTCTTCAAAATTCACGTGTTCACCTTGCTGGGCTTTAATTGCTGTGATAACCCATTTCCAACGCATTTCTGCAGCACTGAAAGTTAAGAAGAATTGTGGCGAGCCTAAAGCCCGAATCATGGCAAACAAGTCTTTGGTTGTTTTCTGCCAATACGCCGGGGTGCCTCTCAGCGGTGTCATGAATCTTACTGCATCTTTGTTCCGCACTAGCCTTTCGACTTCTCGTTTGTTTTGCAACATGGCATTGGTGATTTTGCGGCCATCTCGAGTCAAAGGTTTGCCTTTACGCAACTGTATTCTCATGCTGGAAGTGGCTGTATGTATTTCTGTCACAAACTGAGCAAAGAACAAGTAGTTAGTATCTTTTGCGAAACGGCCATCGACACAGCAAAGCCTCGTTTTGAAATAACTGCAGGGTGTTAATTTCATTGGCCTGTTATCATCCAGTGTATTTTCGCCAGTAGGAAACTGAACTGGGAAAGCCATTGCTTCAAGTTTAGGTGTTCTGAAAAAGCTTGACGGTTTTTTTCCTTCCGCGGGGGCAACAGAGTAGATTCCCTCACTAAAACTCAAAATCTCCTCTGACACATCACTTGGCTGCAGACATGATTCAAGGACAACACCACCGTTCGGTTCATCACCCTCCATGTTATCAGACCCTTTCTCTGGCTCACAGCCATCATTACCTGACTGATTGTCCATATCTTGTTCGTTGTTTTCAGGAATGCATTCTGCCTCACAGAGTGCATTTTTCTCAATCCGGTCAATCTCCATCAAATCTTCCTCATCGTAATCATCATCATCCATTCTGTCATCCTCATCACTCTCAGTGTCTTCATCATCAGGAAGCGTTGGGTCACATGACTCAGCTTCATCTCTGATTGTTATGTCTTTGTACTGGGGATGACTTTCTTTCAGTTTGAGCAGAGCTCTCACCAGTTTTGGCCAGGTCACAGTTTGGAACAGCTGATGACCTTTGTAGCACAGTCGTCTCTTCAGCTTCACTCTCATGACCTGAGATTCACTCCTTAGTCTGGGCAAAGCATTCACAGTTTCTTGTACTTCAGACGGAACACACACAACATTTCCACGGATAGCTCTTTGTTGACCTTTGGGCAGTGGAATAATTTTAGCAAACGGTATGCTTTTAGCTACGAGATGACGTTCCAAAATGTTCAAATCACACAGTTCATCTGGAATATCAGCAAGCTGTAAATTATTAGCCATGGCGAGGGGAGGCATCCCACCAGCCTTAACGTGATCATGGCATGTGTAACAAATCCACTCTCTCTTTCGCTCCTCTGGTACGGTGCACTGTTGTGAATTTTCGCATTCATCACTGCAGACATGAACATATGTACCTGTGAGGCAAGCTGTAACAACACGTGGCTCTTTGTCATATTTTGAACGATTGCAGGGTCGCACTTGATTCGGAAACAGAGCTCTGTGACAAACTGTGCAGACATACGTGGGTCCATCTTTTACGTGTGATCTAAAAATCTCTATGGCTTCTTTAATCTGACTGTCATCCATGTCGATTTGCTTTCTGTTTAAATGTCTGTATTTTTGTCTAATCTTAATTGCACACCGCACGCTGTTGGTTAATCTGATTACAAGGTTGTTTCTGTATTTGTCTCTCATTAGCTGTCTCATAGTTTGTTTGTGCCTCGCTCTGAATGCAGGATCATTTGCGTAACGCTTTGTGATATACTGCCTTTGTTTGGTTCTGAATGCAAAGTCCTGACAATAGCGGTGTGTTATGTACAACATTTGTCTCCGTTTAAACTCTGCATCATCTGTGTATCGACGATTGATGTAAGACTTTTGTCTCTGTTTAAACTCTGCATCGTCTGTGTATCGACGGTTTATGTAGGACCTCTGTCTCTGTTTAAACTCTACATTATCAGTGTAGCGACAGTTGAAGTAAGACCTCCTTCTCTGTTTAAACTCTGAATTATCAGTGTAGCGACGGTTGAAGTAAGATCTCCTTCTCTGTTTAAACTCTGGATCCTGTCTGTACTGATTAACTGTGTAAGACCTTTTACGTTGCTGGTATGATTGGTCTTTGGCATATCGTTCACGCTGTTTTGCATTTTTATCAATTGCAACTTTTGTCTTTTGCATCAGAGCTCTTCTTTTTAATTTCTTCCTTTCCTGTTTATTACGTCTTGACAGATCCGGCAAAGTTTGACTGTTAGATTTTATTGTGGCAGTTATCTCAGATTCAGCCTGGGGTAGACTGGACATGTGAAGTTCTTGCTGCCCTTCTATTGGAACAACATCTGCATTAGACTCTACATGTGGCAAATTTTCTCCCCCTGAGAGCTCATCCACAGTCTGAAATTGTACAGGTGTCAGCTCAAAATAAGCATTTGGACCAGAGCCCACTGCACGGAACAATGTCACAAGCTTTGTGATCAGATCACTTAAATGTGTGAAGATAAAGACGACAGCTGTGCCAGAAACAAAGTCAGAGGGTAAGCCATCAGGCCGTCGAGAGTGTGGGTCAAAATAGCCATATCGCCTGTGTTGGTCTCGGAAAACAGCAATGTACATTGAACTCATTATCAACAACGCATAGTTAACCTCTGCAGACAAGCACTGAAGTACATCTGCAAGGTTGTTGTTTAGCAAGGTAGGAGCTGTAAAGACGCCACTGGTTGACTGACACCTTGTCATTATGTGCTGTTGTCTGTTGCCAATAAGGACTGGTGGAAGTTCATCTGTGTTTAAGAATCTATCAACTTTTTGACCATCAACGTCCAACTGACCGAGAGCTAGAGTATACATTGCATGGCCTCTGTCTAAAACAACATCAAGATCAGAAGTGTCGAGTTGTCCTAACTCATGCAGAAATGCCAGGAAAGTAACACAGTTGCAGGAACATTGACTGTTCTTTGAATCAGCGTATTTGTAATGCCCCTGACTGCGGGAAGCCAACACACGTGTGACATTTGCATGAGAAGAATCAGGGGTATTTACCTGTCTGCTGCTGTAAGGAAGAGGACTCACCGCCCGTTGATCAGGTACTTGGGACTCAGCCACTTTCTGCCAGTGTAGCTTTTTGGCTAGGGATTTCTTTCCTTTGCGTGGCATTGTTCCTGGAGGTAATTTGTCGTAGTTGTAGTAGTACTGGTAGAGGTAGTAGTAGTTGTGCTAGTAGCAGTAGTAGTAGCAGTAGTAGTAGTAGCAGTAGTTGTAGTGGTAGTAACAAGAGTAGTAGTGGTAGAAGTAATAATGGTAGTAGCTGTAGTAGTGGTGGTAGTAGCAGCAGTTGTAGTGGTAGTAGCAATAGTAGTAGTGGTACAAGTAATAATTGTAGTGGAAGTAGTAGTACCGGTAGTCGTAGTAGTAGTAGATTTTTGTCAAATATGCACTGAAGCACCAACCAAGTGAGTTTTTTCAGGGATGCGTGGTAGCACCAACAAAGCAAGTATTTCAAGGATGAGTATTTGATTATTCAAGGCGGATGGTTTCCAACCTTGTGGAGAGACTTAGGGAGAGAGAAAAAAGGCTGAGAAAATAGACAGAGCAGGATGGATGTATCAAGGCGGATTGTTTCCTACCTTGAAAAGGAAACTTAGGTAGAGAAAGAAGGCAGGGACAATAGACAGAGCAGGCAGGAGGATAGAGGGGTAGGGGGCAGGGGAGGGAAAAACAGGACAATCCACTGGAACCTGGACACCGGAACTCTTCTTCTTCTGCACAGTATAACACACAAAAGAGAAAAAAACATCATTACCTTTAACAAAATTATACCATATGAGAGTTACAATAAACTACGTTTAGCTGTGGTCAGCTATGTGACATTTTTGAAGCCTAAGTCCATGCTCATATGATATCAAACATGATGGGATAGTAACTGGTCCCTGCATCTCTTATTTCAAGGTAAAGAGTGTGTGGTGCTTGGTTCAGTTCAAAAGTACACATGAATAATCAGGTGAAGTTACTATGATATTACAGCAGTACAAGTTTGACAAAGCAGGTGGTTCTCTCTCTCTCAAAGAAATCCTCTTGGTATCAGAATTTTTCTTGCAGTGCATGCTTGAGGACCTTATGTGCCCTTGGGCAAGAAGCACTCACACACAGAGTAAATTTTATACCCAAATGAACAACCTTAAAAGTCTACAATTTTATGCGGGACACAAAACTGAATATAGCATTAATTCAAAAGGACAGACTTCAACCAAAGGCGTAACAATTATGTGAAATGAGCACAATTTGATTGTATTTTGGTGAACTTTGGAGCAACTTTGAGGATTTGAGAAAAAAAAAAAAAGATTACATAAGAATAATATTATATTGAATGTGTTGGGATCTCTTCAGAAAAGGATTTTGTGATATCAGGGAGTGGGTAAGTTTTTATCCACACTCAAGTGATAAACTGCTGTCAATTTCATTTTAGATTTTAATTTCAGGTACTCACCAAACAAGCGCTGGAACCTCTCTCCGTCTAAAAGAGGAGACAGCATGTTAGTGTAATCTTTTCTGTCTCTGTCTCTCTCTAAAAGGCTGGCAAAATTTTGTGTGCTCTAAGCTGTACAATGTATTATGCATTTCACCTGCACAGTTCACACCACAAACAAGAACTCTCACTTTACTAATAATTTGAACAAATCAGATCACACAGCATCCATTCTGGTTTGAAGCTGACGCAGGTGTTACAGTTTTATTAATTAAGACCATGTACCTTTGACACATTATTACCTACAGGTGGTTTTAATGATCATTTCATGTCAAAAAGGCTGCTCATAAAATGGTCTATACAGCCAAGAGCTGACTAATGTCAGATATTGACATTTCACTCTCTTAAAAAGCTCACTTGCCTAAGTCAGCACTATTGCTGACTAAACAGCTAAAGTGACTAACCAACAAGTAAGGTAGACATTAACATTAGAGCAAAGGAGGCAACTGTGTTTGCTAAGGATGTTCGTGTTATGGAAATCTGAGAATTTGCTCAGAGCTGACAGTTCATTGTTGATACAACCATGAAAATATATTAACGGTCAGAGTCACGGAGCATGGACTCTAATTAGCCAGCAGTTAGCTGACTGTTGGTTGATGTTAAGACCGTGACAGTTTAATTTTTTCCCTTTTGTTATAACAATATCACAATTATGCCGCAGCATCACAGAGAGAGAGAGAATAAAACGGCAGGTTTTAATATTTAGGCGAGAAGAGACTGCGACTTTCTCTGTTAATCGTCGTCGACCGTTATCAGTTGCGGTGGCTGTAAGTTTCATTACAGTTAGCTTTGGCGAAACAGGTGTAATTAATCTCACACGGACTTTGCTACGGCTTTCTGTAATGTGAAAACTAAATGAGACTTATCACATTAGTTTCCGGGAGTTTGAACACTAACTCGGTGTGCTAAACCGGCGAATTAAACATTATTTGGGGGAGAAGTGAAAGAGATGCAGCCGCTTACCTCAAAGTCAGGAGTCAGAAGTAATTAAATAGCGTCACGTCCACCGTTGGTAGTCGAGGTGCATTCAGGGACAGTCGGAATTTCGACAGAAAGAGGTTTTTATGTTTCTGTGTGTGTGTGTGTGTGTGTGTGTGTGTGTGTGTGTGTGTGTGTGTGTGTGTGTGTGTGTGTGTGTGTGTGTGTGTGTGTGTGTGTGTGTGTGTGTGTGTGTGTGAAAACGGTAAGGAGCAAATATTATGCAAATATACGATGGATGATTCCTACATGACGATTTGAGAATTAAAATTTCCCACCGTCATGTAATGCACAGACACGTCGGTTGAATCCTGCGGAGGATTTTCAGGCTACACACAAACTTGGCATGTAACTTGTCCTAGTGATAACACTGAAGACATTTTTGGCTCCACAAACACAGAAATTGTATCAACTTGTTCAGCCGGGACTTGTGGACATTATGGGGTCTAATCAGGATTTTTATTCATTTGAATTTTCCCCATTTTTCAATCACTCATTGAGTATGCATTGTTTTATTCTTTAAACTCATTGAAACTCATTCAAACGGATTCAAACCTTTCTGAATCTTCAAAGCACTCATACTTCCAGATTATGATCATTTTAATTTTACCTGTTTTAATCATTTACACTATTCATGCATTATCAAATTCTTGAAACTAATTCCAACTCATTTTAACTGATTCACACCTTCCTTAATTTTCATACCTGTCATACTTCCAGATTTTAAATCATTTTAATTTTCCCGTTTTAAATCATTTTCATTATTGCTTCATTATTTATTTTTTTCAAACAAATTTCAGCTCATTTGAACTGATTCAAACCTTATTGATTCTTCAAGCCTTTCCCATGCTTCAGGGTTTTCAATCATTTTAATTTTCATTGTGAATTTTTAAAATTATTATTCATGCATTATTCAACTCATTCAATTGAGATTATTCAAATTGATTCAAATCTTCCTGATACTTCATACCTTTTTACCTTTCACTAATTTTTAAAATTCAGCCATTCGCAATAGCAGCTTAGCGCTAGCAATTTCAACTGAAGCAATCCCACTCGCAATTTCTTCAGAAATTGCATTTTCTAGTTCCTGATGGATTCTTCTTTCTTCTTCTTCTTCTTATTATTTTTCTGCCCCTTTGAACTGGAAAATGGCCCACTTCCCACTGGTGAAAAGTCATGAAATTTGGCAGGACGACCGGGCCTGGTGAAAAATTCGATATTCTGAAGTCGCCCAAAAAATCAAATGCAAAATGGCTCCATAGCGCCCCCTAAGGTGAAAAATTCACATGATTGAGTGTCACGCCTGTACGCTTTGTCAAAATGACACAAAATTTGACACACACGTGTATCTCAATAAGATCTACAAAAAAGTCAGTGCGGGCGTATCTGTCAAATGTACGGTTAAAGGGCTATTTCGCATTTTTTGCCGATCCGCACACATTGGAATTTCGCTAACTCCTCCGAAGGCTTTCGTTCCACCGGCACCAAATTTGCTCAGGCCAATCTACACCCCATGGCCATTGAAAGTTGTACAAATCATGACGCTGCATCCCACGGTTTACGTTCTAGGGGGCGCCAAAGATAACCCAGAAATCCACATTCTTAAAAGTCGTATAACTTTTTATTTTTGTCCTCAATGGCCTCCAAGTTTTCTAGGATGATGCAATGTCTAGCCATCAACACATTTGTGAAGGAATTTTTACTCCCCAAAAGAGCGCCCCCCCATGGCAGGAGAAAAAAGTCCAGTTTTTCTTCCCCCCTAAGGTGAAAATTCACATTATTGAGTGTCACGCCTGTACGCTTTGTCATATTCAAACAAACTTTGACAATCACGTGTTTCTCAATAAGATCTACGAAATAGTCAATGGGCGCGTATCTGTAAAATGTACGGTTAAAGGGCTATTTCGCATTTTTGGTCGATTCACACACATTGGAATGTGGCTAACTCCTCCTAAAGCTTTCGTTCCACTGACACCAAATTTACTCAGGCCAATCTACACCCCATGGCCATTCAAAGTTGTAAAAATCATGACGCTGCACCCCACGGTTTAGGTTCTAGGGGGCGCCAAAGATAACCCAAAAATCCACATTCTTAAAAGTCTTATAACTTTTTATTTTTGTCCTCACTGGCCTCCAAGTTTTCTAGGATGATGCAATGTCTAGCCATCAACACATTTGTGAAGGAATTTTTACTCCCTAAAAGAGCGCCTCCCCATGGCAGGAGAAAAAGTCAAGTTTTTCCTGCCCATCGCTCAATGACTCAAACACATCGCTCTCTCGGCAAAACCGAAAGGAGGAGCAACTTGCCATTTGGATATATCCTAGCTGTGTTTGTGCCCTCACTCATGGTCCAGTCCTTTTCAAATAGGACATGTAGTTTGTCTGCGGCGAGCGTTTTGGTAGAAACTGCGCCTCCCATTCATTATAATTGTAAATGACCACAGACAAGTGCGCACACCATCTTTGGACCTTGAGTGTGACGCGATCGGTAGGGAGAGGCGGTCGTGTTGGGGGCGGCGCGACACGGCTCGGGCCCGCCAGTGCCCCAACGGGGCCCTAGTTATTAGGGCCCGAGCCAGCTGCAGAGCAGCCGGGCGTAGAGCCCTATTATTCCTGTATAGGTTTTTCTTTCTTCTTTCTTTCTTTCTTTCTTCTTATTTTTCCTCCCCTTTGAAGGGGAAAATGGCCCACTTCCCACTGGCGAAAACTCAGGAAATTTGGCAGGACGACCGGGCCTGGTGAAAAATTCGATATTCTGAAGTCGCCCAAACAATAAAATGCAAAATGGCTCCATAGCGCCCCCTAAGGCGAAAATTCACACTATTGACTGTCACGCCTGTACGCTTTGTCATATTGACACAAAAATTGACACACACATGTATCTCAATAAGATCTACAAAAAAGTCAGTGCGGGCGTATCTGTCAAATGTACGGTTAAAGGGTTATTTCGCATTTTTTGCAGATCCGCACACATTGGAATTTCGCTAACTCCTCCGAAGGCTTTCGTTCCACCGGCACCACATTTGCTCAGGCCAATCTACACTCCATGGCCATTCAAAGTTGTACAAATCATGATGCTGCACTCCATGGTTTAGGTTCTAGGGGGCGCCAAAAATAACCCAAAAATCCACATTCTTAAAAGTTTTATAACTTTTTTTTTTTGTCCTCACTGGCCTCCAAGTTTTCTAGGATGATGCAATGTCCAGCCATCAACACATTTGTAAAGGAATTTTTACTCCCCAAAAGAGCGCCCCCCCATGGCAGGACAAAAAATCAATTTTTTCTTGTCCCCTAAGGTGAAAATACACATTGTTGAGATTCACGCCTGTATGCTTTGTCAAAATGACACAAAATTTGACACACACGTGTATCTCAATAAGATCTACGAAAAAGTTAATGGGCACGTATCTGTAAAATGTACGGTTAAAGGGCTATTTCGCATTTTTTTGCCGATTCGCACGCATCGGAATGTAGCTAACTCCTCCTAAGGCTTTCGTCCCACTGACACCAAATTTTTGTCAGGCCAATCTATACCCCATGGCCATTCAAAGTTGTAAAAATCATGACGCTGCACCCCACGGTTTACGTTTTAGGGGGCGCCAAAGATGACCCAAATATCCATATTCTTTAAAGTGTTAAAACATTTTATTTTTGTCCTCACTAGCCTCCAAGTTTTCTAGGATGATGCAATGTCCAGCCATCAACACATTTGTGAAGGACTTTTTTCTCGTTAAAAGAGCGCCCCCCCCCCCCCCCCATGGCAGGAGAATAAAGTCAAGTTTTTCCTGTTCATCGTTCAATGGCTCAAACACATCGCTCTCTCGGCAAAAGCGAAAGGAGAAGCAATTTGCCATTTGGATATTTCCTAGCTGTGTTTGTGCCCTCACTCGTGGTCCAGACTTTTTTCAAATAGGACATGTAGTTTGTCTGCAGCCAGCGTTTCGGTAGAAACTGCGCCTCCCATTCATTATAATGGGAAATGACCAAAGACAGGTGTGCACACTATCTTTGGACCTCGACTGTGACGTCACAGTATGACATTCAAATGTTATTTGACCTCTGACCTTTGGTGGAGACGTGAACCTTTCAACCTGCAAAAACAGCGTTTCAATAGCTCTTACGGCTTTTCTACAAATACACTTTGTTCTGCTGCTCCTACTGTCTCTTCAGAGCTGCTTCACAGATCATCAAAGAGTGTGCATGTGTGTAATAATATAATCATTTTTAGTGACAATGATTTTTAGTGACATCATACATTTGTTTTTTTCAGCAGAGGCAGCCACCTTAAATGTTGACGTGTGTTTTCTGCAGTTGCATCACATGGCCACAGGGTGCCAGTGTTGGACTCATTTTCCAGGGTCTATTGTTGTTGCTAACATGTATTTGTAAAATCAAACCCCTATTTTTATAATAGAAAATGTCCTGTGAAGATTTGTCCACTGCAGTGACCGTTATACGTGAAAGGGTTAATTGTGTAGTGGAAGTGTTTAGTGTTTAGGATACACACACACAGACACACACACACACACACACACACACACACACACACACACACACACACAGAGTCTGTTTTTTAGCACCTGCAAAAACATGCTATTTACATATTAGACAGGAATGCAGAGGCTTGCCCCTGAAAAAATCAAATGTCAAACGCAAATTGGCTGGTCATTTCTCCAAAAGACAACCATGAAGCGCTATCTAAACCTGAAGCATGCAGTTGCTGCATGTGTACAGTAACCTGAGGGGAGTGAGGTGACTGCTTCTGAGGAGAACATGAGCAGTGAAGATTCACCTTAGAGCCAGAACAGGGACGTGCACATGATTATAGAGGGGCAGGGGCTCAAGTCTTTTCCAGTTCTTTATACAAAATGGAAATTAATGTGAAATTAAAAAACAAAGTATTAATAGAAAGGTAATGACTGTCCTGTTTAGATGACAGTGATATCCAATAGGCTAGGCACTCACGAGGCTGGCTGTGGCAAGTGTAAGTGAAAGCAACACGCACTGGCAGGAAGAACAGCAAACGCCGATGAAGGAAAAGGGTCCTTGCAGTGATGGGCGTTACCAGAGAGGGCGATGGCCAGAGGACGCGAATGGGACGGGGAGGCAGCGCGTTGGGGGGGGGGGGGGGGGGGGGGGCGTGACACGGCTCGGGCCCGCCAGTGCCCCAACGGGGCCCTAGTTAGGGCCCGAGCGTAGATGCTAAGCAGCTGCGAGAGCCCTATTATTCCCCAAGTGGTTTTTCTTTGTTTCTTTTTTCTTTTTCCTCC